TTAAGGGAGGCCAAAACCTTAACAAAAAAAAAAAAAACCTAATAAAATAAAATAAAATAATTAAAAAGAAAAAGAGAAACAAAAAATTAAAAAGAGAGAGAGAAGATGGGAACAAGAGAGGGTAGGGCAGTGGCGGCTATGGATCCAGATCTTCTCGTTTTAGAGTTTTATTTTTTATTTTTTTGTTACATTTTACTTTACCATTTTAAGTTATATATGGGGATCCCGAAGTCGAGGGACTATCACATGTAAACGACTAGTAAAATGACAGATAGACCATAATTTACAATATTTAAAGTTAATAGAGTGTTTTCGAAGAAAATAATACTATTTATATGCCTAATAGTAAGTGATAAAAAAAATCAATAACTAATAGATTAAGAGTACGTTTGGTGAAGTTTTTTAAAATTTTTAATTTTTTAATATTATTTAAAAGTCATAAATTTAAATTTTTATTAAAAAATTAAAAATTATTTTTAAAAATTATAAAAAATAAAATTTATAAAAAGTAAAAAATTTGAAACTTTTCAAATTTCATTGTTTAAAATTTTTTTAAAGTTAAAAAAAATTAAAAAACATAATTTATTTAAAAAAAATTTAAATTTATAAAATATAAATAATATAAAAAAAAATAAAGCAATTATAAATTTCGCTAATCATACTCTAATTATGATATTCAACAAACATGGTGCCATTCTTTGATGGGATCCAAATCCAATAGCGACAATTATAATTCAAAAAATCGAAACAGTCAACTTCGACTTTTTTGTCCTAACGTGGGCGAAAACGAAGAGTCAACACTTTTTTCGTATCCTAGTTCATCTTTGAATCTTTCTCCTCAGACTCCATTTTTCTGAGGCTGCGCCTTTTGCTCTTACCTCCGGGCTCCAGCTTTATTTCATTTTCCGACTGATATCCAGTTTTCATGGGTCAAATCCAGCCAGAGTCAACAATGTTACGAGGAATGGATTCCGCCGAGAAACGGCTTAATGAACTCGGATACAAGCAAGAACTCAGAAGAGAAATGGTTAGTACTTACCATTTAAATTTTTTCTTTTTCTGTTCACGTCTTATCATTTTTTTTTTTTTTAAATCCTGATTGGATTGGATTGATTTCTTTCTTTTTTCCTGGCGATGTGTTGAAATTTGGAAATTAATTCTTGCAGACTCTCTTCAAGACTCTTGCCATCTCATTTTCAACGATGACACTCTTCACCGGGATCACCCCCCTGTATGGTTCAAGCCTGCAGTATGCTGGTCCAGCTAGTCTTGTTTGGGGCTGGGTGGTTGTATCATTCTTCACCTGGTTTGTTGGAATTGCCATGGCTGAGATCTGTTCCTCTTTCCCAGTCAGTATCTTCTGGTCCATTTCTTTTATATTAACGTTTAACATAAATATCCTGCGCTTACATTCCATCCTGCTGACTTTAAAATTAAATTAGCTCCCTTCACCAAAAAAATCTAAAAACATATTCCTATAATTTAATATAGTATTGGATAATAATATGCTGATAATCTTTAATTTGTACTACTTTTCTATGCAGTTTTTATACATCATTAAATAAATATATATATAATATTAAAAATTTCAGAACTGTGAAATTGCTCAAATAATTTATTTAAATACCTTTAAAGAATCTTACTTTTGTTGTGATTTATTAAATATATTTAAAATCTTTTCATTATTATTTTTGACATTTTAATTGATAAAATGATATAATTTTCTATAATCCCTTTAATTTATTTATTCCTACACGCTCTATATACACTAGAAATAAAGTTGTTCATATAAATCTCAATAATTTTGATTCTTGTTGAGAGTTTAAAGGTTTAATGAACCACCTTCCTTTTGTGGGCATATAATTTCCACAGACTACAGGCTCTCTTTATTTCTGGGCTGCCCATTTGGCCGGTCCCAAATGGGGTCCATTTTCATCATGGTGCTGTGCTTGGCTTGAGACAATAGGTCTTATTGCCGGAATTGGTACACAGGTACTTAAATTCTCTAAAAAAGATAGATTCACGTTCAGTATAAAACACCTGTATTCAAGAATCAAGTACTCCAGTTTAACGCTTTGTATTTGGTTTTCAAGGCATATGCTGGATCACAGACACTGCAGAGTATCATTTTACTATGCACCGGAACAAATAAAGATGGAGGATACTTTGCTCCTAAGTGGCTATTTTTATGCATGTATGTGGGTCTAACACTAATATGGGCGGTTCTCAATACATTTGCATTAGAAGTGATTGCCTTAATCGACATAATTTCAATATGGTGGCAGGTAATATAATATCTAGATTTTCTGACTGTAATTATTCGTAATAATTTTTTTATTTTGAACAAAATAATTACATTACAATTATATATTAGGGGATGGGAGGTTAATGTTAGTGGTTGAGCTTGAAGGCAGGATCAAGTTGTCACACCATTAAACCCTTATTATTGGATCAAGAACGTAGTCGGCTAAATTATATGTAATTGATTTCATGGTATTTTATGATTTTTGATTCCTTTCTTGGACTAATCAGAGTTGTTTTAATTTCAGGTTATTGGAGGCTTGGTTATTGTTATAATGCTCCCTCTTGTTTCTTTAACAACTAAATCCGCATCATATGTGTTCACAAATTTTGAAATGGGGACAGAGTCTACAGGAATTTCGAGCAAACCTTACGCAGTGATTCTATCATTTTTGGTCAGTCAGTATTCGCTCTATGGATATGATGCTGCAGCACATTTAACTGAAGAAACAAAAGGTGCAGACAAGAATGGTCCTACCGCAATTCTATCTAGCATTGGGATCATTTCTGTGTTTGGATGGGCTTATATTTTGGCTCTTACCTTCTGCATTCAGGTATATATAGCTAGAGCTTGTAGATTATTACTGCTTGAATCTAAAAAATTGATTTCGACTTCTATGAAAGCCGAAAGCTATTTTTGGACCTCCATGGCAGAAGTTAGGCTGAACAGAACAAAACACTAAATTAGTTTAATCTATTTTTGTACTTTTCTGTGTGGTTTTGGATTGTTATTCAGGATTTCAGTTACCTATACGATCCAACAAATGAGACTGCTGGAGCATTCGTTCCGGCTCAGATACTTTATGACGCTTTCCATGGGAGGTATCACAATGCTGCTGGAGCAATTATATTACTCTTTGTCATATGGGGTTCTTTCTTCTTTGGCGGGCTTTCCATCACCACCAGTGCAGCCAGAGTTGTAAGCAATCTCATTCCCATCCTTGCTAAATTTTTATTAACCGACCGTCTTGAAGAGACTATCTGATGCAACTCAAAACATGCTTTAGGAAGTTTTCTGATCATCTAGACTTAAATTTTCCCATGGTTTAGGTGTATGCATTATCGAGAGACAAAGGGATTCCGTTTTCGACTATATGGCGACAAGTACACCCGAAACGTAAAGTTCCTTCAAATGCAGTGTGGCTCTGTGCAGCCATTTGCATTATTCTAGGACTTCCTATCTTGAAAGTCAATGTGGTTTTCACAGCTATAACCTCCATATGCACCATTGGATGGGTAGGAGGCTATGCAGTTCCTATCTTTGCTAGAATGGTGATGGATGAGAAGAGCTTTAAACCAGGGCCGTTTTACTTGGGCAGAGCCAGTAGACCAGTCTGCCTGATCGCCTTCTTGTGGATTTGTTACACTTGTTCTGTGTTTCTTCTACCGACATACTACCCAGTTAAGTGGGATACATTCAATTATGCGCCTGTGGCTTTAGGTGTTGGCTTGGGGCTCATAATGCTTTGGTGGGTGTTGGATGCTAGGAAATGGTTTAAAGGACCAGTTAGGAACATTGATCTTCCTAATGCACACAAGTAACTTTCACTGGTCCAGAAACTTAAGACTTCATTAATATTTATTCATATTTACCTCCTGTTTTCATAAATATTTTGCCAAAGTCTAAGACTTCATTAATATTATTCATCTTTACTTGTCTTGTTTTCATAAATATTTTGCCAAAGTCTACATGTGCTAGAATTTAGACTATGGAACTTATCCATCCAAGAGACTCGGAAACTGGTGAGGGAAATGCTGCATTTGTGATTTCAGTTCTCTCCATTCTTCTACCCAAAGACTGTAGCTTGAGTTCTTCTTGAGTACATCTTTTGAGACCTCCTTACTCTCAATCAATTTTCTTGCATCCCTTTCAAACTCATTAATCTTGCTCCAAATCGTAGCTCGTGTCATCATATCACTCTCACATCTGATGCTATCTATTAACTCCCTAGCTTCCTCTACCTTTGCCCAGAAGCATGAATCTTGAGTCAGGCTAGCGAATTTGCTTCTCTTGCTTCCTTCCTCTCCCAACCTTCTATCATTCCACCACTTGTCAAAAATTTCATACCTTCTCTCCCTTCCATGTTTTCTGTAATGACCTCTGACGTGGTGCATGCCTGTTCTGTAGTACTCTGCAATATCCAATGGTTCAACAAGAAGCTTGTAGAAGTGCGCAGCATTGACCCACTTTCCCCGCCTGGGAAGATCATGTGGTAGGAGATTATTTTCCAGCATGTGGATCACATTGTTCCAGAACCCTGCAAGCTTGTGTCTGTTCATATTGATTCTGGAGTCCCTTTTGGAGGCTCCCCTCATCTTGAATGAATCATAGTAGCCCATTTGATGATCAGCCTCATCATAGCAGGCCTTGTACCACTCAATCTCAGATCTGTAAGGTGTTATCTTGGACAATCTTATTGCTAGATTGGCGCAATTCAGGTTTGGGGTTCGTCCCATTCGCCTGGCCATCTTCAGGCAGTCTTGCCCCATTATTGCCACCGGTGCCTGTAGTTTGATTCAAGAGCAATGAGAAAATGTCTGTAAGAAGGAAGAAAGTATCGTTTAACAGAGAAATTACTGTTATCTTACTACCTCAGGAGTTATTTCTAAGGACTCTAATGCCAACGCAACTCCTGCTTCATAGCTTGAATCAGGAATCTTACTCTGGGGAAAGTTTCTAGCCTTCGAAAATTGTACGGAAACTGCCCCTACATAATCTCCATAATTGAGATGGTCCTCAATTGAACAATTAGGTGAGCTCACAACCAGCAGCAAATGCATCATCTTGATGACAGAGACTGCATTATCTACACAAATGGCACCCCTCTGGGAACAAAAGACATAGCTCCCCATGGGCCAGAATGGGCTTCTCTCTAATCCTTCCACTTGTACCAAAGCTTCCAGATGAGACAATACAAAGCGGAAAATGCTAGACTTAATTTCATCATTTAGTTGACAAGCAAGCTGTCCAAAGTGTGGACAAGTCATGGACAAGCGCCAGAAGTCTAAAAGGATTTGAACTTGAGGAGTGAAGGAAGCTACTGGAGCAAGAAGCAGTCGTGGCATAATGTCATTTTTGGAGGTGAAATGGCAAAAGTTTCCTGCCCATCTTTCCCGGAGAATCACACGATGAAGGGTTTCATTTCCTAGCAATGGAGAGCCAAATGTGAGGCATAGTATTGAAGGTTGAGAAGATGACAACAAGGATTGACAGAGGAGACAGATTGCTAAAAGAGAAGCAGCTGTTCCTCCTAGAGAGTGGCCTGTTATCACCAGGGACTTAGCTCTCTCCATTATTGACATCTGCATGACATTATTAAAATTAGCTGTTTAATTGTTTAAAGCCAAAAGAAGAAAAAAATAAATATCATTGTAAACATCCAAACTAAAACCAACTAACAATAGGTATGGTCATATTGTGGGATTTTCTCACTCTGCCTATGATGTGAACTCACAACCACAGCCACAATAAACCTCACCTTGGGTTGCACATTGCACACACGGGCTTGGCTCACAACGACCTCCTTTGGGTCGTGCCCTAACTAGGCTTATAGTAACCATCCTTGGGTTGCATACACGACTTGGGCCTGAACTCTGGTACCATATTAACATTCAATCTAAAACCAATTAATGATAGGTTGAGTAGTCTACATTATTTAAGTTCACAGGTTAAGGTTAAGCTAAAGAACTCATCATAAGTCCATTAAAAAACGAAAAGAAATCATCACAGGTGGGAAGAAAAAAGAAAGTTACCTGTGATAGAGGATCCATAACTGTGGAGCTTTGTAAACCATATTTAATGTAAGGAAGAAACAAAAAATTAATATAAAATTAAATTTTATAATAGACTAATTAAGAATTTAGTTATATTTGCATGTTAAAAAAATAAAATAAAAAATACTCAATATGATATGATGTTGGCACCAAAACAAAAAGGAGGAGCCGAATCAAAGAGGGCTCTCAAGAAGTCAGGATGAGGTTCAAAATTCAGCCTCAAACTTTGGTTTTGATTATTTTATTTATGGTGGTAGCTAGAAAAATAAAATAATTTCGAAGGACGAGACTCATAAGCTGCAGCAGCTTTTGTTTAATTCTAAATAATCAAAATTAAAAATTAAAAATTAAAATTATTAACTTATTAAATATAAAATTTTAAAATAAATACTCAATACATTAAATGTAATTAATTTATAAAACTACTTAATCATATTTTAAAGTTTCTAAATTTTTTAAAACTAAGTCCACACAAACAGATGGAGCCAAAGTTAATGGCTTAATGCTTAATGGGAGGAGATATTAAGACGACGGCCCAAATTAAACATTCAAATACAGAGCAAAGAAACTTTTACTAAATATATATATATATATATATTTTATTGAAGGGAAAGAGAGAACTGACCTGGGTTTGGAAATTAGGACTGTCACATATGGACAAGAAGAGATTCAGCATCCCAGCGTGCACCATGATCACCTCCTCTCCTTCACCGTATCGATGCAACGGAGCGAAGAGGCTGGCATCCAGAGGCACCAAGCCTTCGCAATTCGGATCCGACCCGAAGACATCTTGTATCCCGGAGAAAGCAACATAGCACACGTTTCCGATCGATTCCATCAGGAAACTTCGCGGCGAATTTGTGTTGGCGAGGTGGCACAATCTCCATGACTCCGATAAGACCGGCGTTGACGCCAGAAATGTCGCCAGAATCTCGCTCGTCTCAAAACTGTTTTTATTGGAAATTGAGGACAGGAATGGAGAAAATCAGAAATTAATTTGGATATTAAGAAGAGAGTGACAGGTTAGGAGGATTTAGGCTTACCATGAAGTATCCGCATCCATTGACTCTGCAGTAGCACTTGAGTTGGGTGTCCTTTTTTTCAGAGGAAGGATTGGTGTCTTCTAATTATTATAATTCCAAGTGGGAAGTAAGGCTTTGCATCTCTGATCCAAATTCCAAGTTAAACTGACGTAATTTAATAAAAAATCAAATTAAATTGAAATAAAATTAAGTTACCTTCGCACCTGTGCCTCGCGGCCCGATGTTAATAGG